ATCGAAGATCATTCAATTCATAACAGACACCTGGATCAAATGAGAATAAACGAAGTAGGTCGTTCCGATTATAATTTTAATGATTCCGCTACTAATCCTGATATTGTGGATAATTCAGAAATAAGTCCAGATGATACTGATGAAAATAATATCACAGAATCAGATAGAAGATCCCAGAGACTTGCAAGCAAACCGAGACCTCATTATAAATACGCAAGGAGACATTCGACATGTGGCGGATGTGGTGATTGACAATTTCTATCTTTGTATTGTTTAAATACTTACTGTTGTTTGTTAATATATTTATTATTTTGATTTGAAATATATTTCCGCCAAATACAAATTCCTGAATTCATCCCTCTCTGTGTTTTGGTTGAGTTCCTGTAATTCGGTCATTGCGAAATACAATACTACTAGTACAAATAACAATCAAACAGACATTTATCGCTTCAAAATCAGTTTGGAAATCTAGTTCTCTCAGCATCAGGAACAAGATTGGGATTTTCAACACAAATGCGAAGTCAATCAGTTCTTCTATATGAATCAGAAACTTGCCCAGCACGTCATGGAAAGCATTTCTAACAGGCCACTGCGGAATCTCATCAACAGCTGCCTTTGCTGCCTCTGTAATGAAGATCGAATGGCCAACGAGAAAGAATTAACACCAAGAAAGTACGGGAACAAACTAACCAAGAGCCGATCGCTCAACAAATGCCAATGCATCGGGCATACTTTGGAGGAACTGTCGAATGACGCGGTGCGCAGTATGGGCCACTGTTTGGGTGGAACCCGAACGAGAAACGACTAGTGAGTCGTCGGTGTGATGGTAACATGGAGGAGATCGTGCGAGGAAAAGACGACAGATTACGAGATGCCGTGCGCTCACCTGAAGAGGGCCGCAGTTAATAGGAGAAATTGGAGATGAGTTGTTGAGACCCTGTATTCTGCTTGGGCCCCAAAAGAATCATAATAATATAATGACGTAATATTTGCCATCTTTTCAATATTTCTGTCACTTAGACTGGCTTTTAATCCAGATTTCTATTAAAGAATCATATGATATTTCATATACATACATACGTTTGTAGTGTACATTGTACCTTTGAACTTTTGTTTGAGTGAACTCAGCCTGACCTTTAACCCCTACTTCCACTTTGTATTCCTGAACCTCCTGTACGGTTTCGGTTTCGCTCTCTCGCTGTACTTTCATCCAGTACACTCTCCGAGCTGACCACCGTCTCACCTGCAGATAAGTGTGTACCTCTTATTCCTTATCAAATTCTATATCTCTTTTGTGTAAATACGATTCTGTTCCAGTCACACTTGCCATCTAAGGTCTTTTAACTTTGGTTCCGTTCGTTAGTACTTGCACGTTAGGCAGAGTACGATTAAGGCCATAAGCGGCGAAAAAGTTTTGTAAGAGTGGTTACTTTTAGGTCGAAGTTAATCCAAGCCCTAAGTGTAACTCCTACACGTTCATATCTATAAAAATGATTTGTTTCTGTTCAAGAAAATTAAGTCATCTTTAATAAAACATGTATATGCTATAATATTATGATCGGAATCATATTTAGCACCAAATATTGTGTTGATATAAACACTCGTTCACTCCCTCTCTACTTATACTATCCGTAGATTTAAATCCTGCCCAAAATATGATGTAAAGAACAACAGGCCGATCAACATAACATCTGTATTGTCAAGGATATTTGAGAAGATAATCAGTACAAGAATCACTGACTTCTTATTGACTAAAAACCTCATGACACCTTCTCAGCATGGTTTTATAAAGTCCATGTCATGTATGACTTGCCACTTGGAACTATTTGGTTTTATAACTGGACTGACAGATAAAAATTCCTTGTGCTCACTATGTATATTCATGTTAAGAAGGCATTCGATAAAGTATGTCATAATTTACTCCTGAAAAACTTAAGGCTTGCGGTATATCTGGCAATCTCTTACAGTGGTGTAATTCATTTATATGTGGTCGGTCCCAATCTGTCAACATTAACGACACATTTTCTAGTACCAACCCCATTTCGAGTGGCGTCATTCAAGGCAGTATACTAGGGCCGCTTTTCTTTCTTACATACCTAAATGACGTCTGTGATGTTATAAAGCATGAAAGACCCTTCATATATATGCCGATGACTTGGATGGAGTCTACCACAGCACAATCCAAGAAGTGACAAATTTGTCTCATTAAATTCAATCGGATATTGATAATATTGGGACTTAGTGCAAGCTGCGGGTGATGCAAAGCAAAGTGGAGAATTGTGGTCTGTTATACTCAGCTCGCCTACATGTCGCACCATACATAAATATATACGACAAGCCAGTCACTATCTTTCCTTCTGTACTTGACCTAGGGCTCCGTTACTCTGCTGATTTTAAGTTCTCTCTCTATGTTACCAACCACGTTTCTCAAGCCAGAAGATTACTTGGATTTTTATTTTATAACTTTGAAACCCAAGAATCTAAAATGCTACTTTATAAAACGCACATATGGCGCCTGCTTGAGTATTGTCTATTTATCCTAGATAGCGCCTCAGTTAAATACAAACTAAAGATTGAAGGTATCCAAAGGAGATTTATAAGTAGAATATTAGGAATAAGTCCGAAAGTTACCTACAACTGTGGTTGCACAACTCTTGAGGTCGAATTTCTTTGTTTCAGGCGCCAATGACTTGACTTCATTCTCCTATTTAAAATTCTCAAATGAATAGTGTACTTTCTCAATTATAACCTTTACTTTACTTGTTCAACGTATGAACTACGCAGCAACGGGTCTTCCATAAGTCATATTCTTTGTCGAACGAAATCTCGTTCCAACTACTTTACAGTTATTTACAGGCAAATACGCAACTCCCTCAAAGTGAAATCAAAACTAGCACCACAATTCAACGATTCACCTATCTACTAAATAAATCTTTCTCCAAAAGCAGTTTTGACACAGTTTGACACATGCTGAAAATTCGTGATATTTTTTCCTTCCCCTTTGACTTATATACTTAAACAGCTCTGTTCACTCAACATATTAACAGAAACAGCCAGAATTATCATACTTATTTAATACAATCAACTTTGCGCTAATGCTGTTCTAAGTCCCTTTCTGAGTTGATTCAATTATTTGTTTGGCAAGCTAATAATAATATATATATTTCACATAAATTAAGCATTTGCATGATTGACATACCGTTTGTACAGGCATGATCATATTTGACAAGTGCAATTTGAAATGGAACACTGTTTTTATGATATTGAAATTTGCAAAGATGGAAAAAAAACCTCTAGAAACTTTATCAGAATAGATTACAATATATTGGTTCAAGTCTAAATTATAATCTATAGTATACTTATAGTCAGTCAAACTCATGCGGGAATTACGAAATGTTGCGTTAATGGAAGGTAATGTAATGAAATAAAAACCACCATAATGCCACTAAATAAATTTCTTTTTCTTCTTTTTTCAGAAAGAAACGCTGACGTGGCCTCACTGGAACAGGAGGAAGATCGTTTGTCCAGACTTGTTATAAATGATGATAATTAGCTTTGTACCCGGTTAATTCAAGCTTGGCGTGGTTGAAATAAACATCTCCTTCTCGTCTCTTCGTATTCTTCCTTTCCGTTGGTTGTGGCTGTTGCCTTGCGTGTAACAGTAAGAAGAGAGGTGGTACACAGGTGCTACAGTAAGACATACAGGATACAGGCCTTGTGATCATTATCATTTTATCAATTATTAAGGGTTCGAAAATTTATACAACTCCACAGTAGAGGGTAAGTACAGCATTATTTCGGTATTAACGGATACAACGGACCAACGTTACGATGATAAACAGAATTCAGAATGGAATTTGTTCCGTTGTTCGTCGTGTGTGCCAACAATATTCTGAATAACGCTCAAGTAATAACAAACGTAGAAAGCAGCATTACTGTTCACTTGTCGTGCATCACTGCAATACCTTCGAGAAGAGAAAGAAGAAAACAGAAAACGAGGTGCAGAGGCAGTCATGGCTGCCATAAATAAATTCAAACTCATTGAGGAAGTTGAGTAACTCATCTCTGCAACCTTCCAAGTAATTACGGTAAAACCTTTTGTTAGAAAGAAGGTAAACAGCTATACTAAGTCTTAGGAAGTTGCGGTATATTCCAGGTGGCATAGTGTCCTTAAGTAAAACAGGCCCTAGGTATAAGAGGAAGATGCGACATTCAGTGGCTTTCCACCGACTAACTTCGGTGAGCCCCCTACACTTTCTGGGGAAGTCCCTGGGTGTCATTCCAGCAGAATCTAATATCTTCCCATCAATGCTTTCAAGCATCAGCCGGTTTACGTGCATTTCCTTCCTTTTAGCTAAGTATTGCCAGAGACTTATAAGCTTCCTAACTACCCCTAAATAGACTAGGTGCATTGGGTCAAGAGGGAAGCACTTAACCATATCAATGTTTAAATCCTCAAGAGCACTCTGTCCACGGTGGTGACTTGACTGCATCCTTTGACGGAAGCTGTCATCAGTCCGGATTGGAAAAATTCCATTTCCGAATGTCATTCTGCCGTCAACTTTTCTTCCAGTAACTGTGCATTTGTCGCAACCTGCACTGGCATTATGACCTACTATAAATTTCACGTCCGCTCTAGCCGGTGCATCACAGATGACGGCTGTCAAACGAACGTTGAAATGCCTATTCAGTTTGGTAATGTGTATGCCTTGACTTAATATATCGTTTAGCTTAGATACTAAGTCATTGCATAACTCTCTATAACTGCTCGGTTTGCTAGGACCACCGTATATACCTATCATGAATACATTACTCAAGAAAGGTGCCATAATTCTACCTAACAGGGGCCATAACTGCTGGTTAGAAGACTTGGAAATGGACAATCCGTCGACATTCAACTGCAGCTCAATCGTCTTGTAGTGACTTTCAACCATGTAGTGCTGCAGGCATTTTTGGAGACCGATGTAGCAATACATTCCCTCTCCAAGTAGTCTAGACTCTCAAGAGCCACACATTCTGAGGACACTTCGAACACCTGTCGGTAGTTGAGGCAATTTCGCACGGAATACCTCCAAGATTCTGTTAGCGGCTGCTTGTGATATGTTCGCGGTCACCATGATATTGAGTAGCTTGCTTGTGATTTCATCACGTTCAGAAGAGACTTGTGGGCACATTTGTGAAGTACTAGCAGCTGGTGTTAGGCTGCTGCAAGGTGGCGATGGCACTACCTCGGTTTCAATGGTCATGGTATCAGTGTTCACTGAAGACGACTCGACTTCAACAGGAGGGACAGCATGTGTGACAGCCTCCGTTGACATCGACGCTAGTTACGCACAGTTACGTTTATACCTTCTGTAAAATGTGGTGTAATGGCAGGTCAATCACAGGTTACGTTGACGTAATCTTTTTAGGCTTAATATAGGGTATTTAGTGTTAGACTAGGAGAAAAATTAGATATGAACCACAGCAACCACTTACCTGCATCATGAACAGTTTAAAAGTGCGCGCACACTGTGTGACTGTAAACCAGATAAACAAAAAAAAGGGTGCGCTGCAATTAACATTGACCACAGATGTTTTCATAAACTCCACTGATTGGCCAGTAAGCATGAACCCACATATAAAACCATCTTCGTTACACGATATCCTGTGACTCATACGAGTCACATGAGTGGTATTATTCGCAAAAACCTTGACCTCTTACATTATCACAGTCAAAGTGACAATAACAAGTCACAGGTAAATTTCTCAGTGTGACTGCAATGTAATGCTATTGGTTACTATTCTTAAATTATCTACGTTTATATACAAACATACACATGTGTGTATGCGTGTGTGTCTGTCTGGATAAGTGTATGACAGAAAACGGTTTAGTTATCAGGATAATAATACTACCATTATTATTTTTAAGTGTTAGCACTTACTTCTGTCTTCTGCTTGTAGGATGTTTTGAAAATGTTCAACCGGAAACTGTAGATGTATAAATGTAATTATAATCACATTAAGAAAAACATATCAATTAACTGATGAGTTTTTATGCATTTGAAGTAGTTGTAACGTAATTTCGACATAAAAATTTTACTACTTACAACTTATCAGTAACCTCCAGTGTACATTTAAATTTTCAATGGTGTCCACACTTTGTCCCCTTTATTCGGAATATGTCCCAATTCATAAAATTTTTCCCCTTAATGTCCCATTTCATCGGATTATGTCCCAATCGGAAATGAAATAAACCTTTTTTGTCCACTTAATATATGTGTAAAACTTGGGCACTGTGGTAGTAAGTAATTCCATATTAGTTTGTGTATTAGTTATATCACACAGTGAAACAGTATTATTAACTGGATTTTTTGTCCACATTGTCCCAAAAATGTCCCCTTTCTGTCCACACATTTGTCGGATTGGGCAGCAAATAATAATAATTTAAGCAAACAATATGTGGCAAACGCAGGGTTTATTCCCCTTTTTTGTTACTAAGAATTTAGAGTCATTGACTTTTATAGTGTTACATACTAACAGTTAGTTCAAGTTTGTGGTAGTAAACAACAAAAAATATAGAATAACAATTTTTTAAAATAAACATAAGGGCAAAACGAATAATGATTTTTACACCTATATACGGTAATGGGAAAAGAAATTGGAGATGTTTAATCCAAACGCCAAATTACATAAAATATGTAGAAGGAAAGAAAAACAAAAAGAATGATGATAATTATTTATGCTGTTGTTCTGATTTGTACAGTTAGATAATAATAATTTATATTTTCATATAAACATAAATTTACATGAAAATGCATGCCACTTTTACAGGCACGATCAAGTATGATGTAATGTCAAATAGTAGATTGTCCACGAGTTAATATTTGAACAGCTGAATATTTGATATATATATATATATAAATACACGCATTGTCTGACCCATGTCGCATCATTATTGAATTAAACAGTAGTCCTCCAGGTTGCGCAGGAAAATCGACTAAATTTCGTTTTCAACCCGTAGTTGTAGGCATACGATAGCCAACCAATATTGAGGAAAGTACAACGTTTACAAGGGATAGTAAGCTGTTTTAGAAAAGTAGAGGTGCTAAGGTGAACCATTAAAGTGTAATGAAATAGGTGAATGCAATGTATCATTAATAGATGCATTCATAGAGGAAATACAATGGGAGACTATAATCCCTAGGCTGACAAAGTTCATTTACAATGTATAATGCTACCCATATAGGTCTTACTATCATGATGTCCACTTTTGGATTTAATACAATTATCCACAAGCCGGTTGTTTTTATTTCATACCTTTTTGTGTATTTGGTGCACAACCCTACCCTACAGAGAATAGGAATAGAATAAGTCGAATCAAATTCATAAAGAGCTATAAAATGTTAGGTTAAGTGGAATATAATTAGGAGCAAGTGAAGGCGTTATTAGAAAATGAATGAGATGAGACATTGTAAAGTGGTATTCGAAGATACGACAAAGGAAAGCATAAAGTAGAGAAATCGTACCATGTGCTTGTTTTCAAAGAGTTTATACACAAGCTTTGGCATACAGGCAGCTTTCATTTTATTTTATTATTATTTTTTGTGAGGTCATTCACACTCAGGAGCCTTAGCAATAGAGCGCATTCCCACAGATAAGGGTGGTTCTCTTAAGTCCCCACCATCATATCCGCTGAATAGCAGTCACCACCCTCCCACCTTTTAATCTGCTAGGCCCTGACAAAAATACTCCTTTTGTTTTTAGAAAAAGAATCTTTTTTATTGCTAAGTGTCATATAGACAGTTTTTGCCTTCACTAGCTAACTCAACGAAACTCATGGTATGAACGACTACTTTCAGTCAGCCATTTTGTATGTATCGTCCCTAACAGCATTTTAAAAATATATATGTACAATAAAAAAGTAAGGAAATCAGAGATTTGCAGTCTACATTCTAGATTTTAGTTATAAACATATGAAACGAAGGGGCAATATGAAATTGTACGAGAAGAGAAAAATACATAAAGGTACACAGTTATGTTTATATATGCATAAAAAGAGGCAGTAGTTAATTATAATAGATGGTTCAGAAGAATACGACTACAGAGGATTATAATAACAGAACCGTGAAATAAAATCCGCAAATATTTAAGACTCACAGTGTAGTTAAGCTGATTTGTTAGACGATCCCGCATAGGGCTGGAATTTGCGCAGACGTAGATAGTATTTACTCATAACATTAGCTAGTCACCAGAAGAGATTTTAGTCCCAGCCATATCCAAGTTTTTTACTACTCAACCTTGAGGTAGAACTTCTACCACACTAAACTGCCCAAAATACAGTTTTGCCAGGGATATTCACCATAATATTTGATTAATTTGACAGTCAGCAGCTGGGGTTAAATGGAGTTGAATGACTGAAAAGGTATGACATAAGGTGTGAGGGTAGTTCATGTAGATTCAGGCCATCAGGCTGTGTATTCCACTCCAGGTTTGTATGAAAGGATTGTGCATATTTTGTGATGATGCTTGCTAGACAAATAATTGAATCAACTAAAAAAAGGAACTGAGAACAGCATTATTGCAACGTTGATTATTTGTTTCAATTATTTGTCTAGCAAGCCTCATCTCAAAATATTTATAATCCCTTCATACAAACCTGAAGTGGAATACATAGTCTAACATACTCACCACGAGAGTTGCGCCAAATCCACATGGACTACCACCTTTGCAACCACATCATCTTCATCAACTGAAAACTCTGCCAGCCCCATCTGTCGCAACTTTCAAGTCATTCAACTCCATTATATCCCAGCTGCTGACAATCGAATTATTCAGATATTATGGCAAACATCCCTGACAGCACTGTATAATGAGCATTTCAGTGTGGTAAGTGCTCTACCACGAATTCGAGTAGTAAATGACCTGAATATGACCGGGATTAAAATCCCCTCTGGTGCCTACCTAGTGCTGTGCGCAAACAAAATGTACGACTTTGGAAATTTTAGTCCCACAGGCGATCGTCCAGATAATTAACTTAAATACACGGCCAGTCTTAAATTTTAACGGATTTGATTTCACCGTCCTGTTACTGTAACCATTTGTAATCTAATTCTTCTGAACCACATACTATAATTTACCAATGTCTCTTTCTATACATGCATTTATAATGAAGTATCGTTATGCAGTGTTTTTCGTACTTTTTCTTATTACCCCTTCGTTTTCATACGTTTTTAGGGGGCTGTAGGTATCGACGTTCGCGAGTTGTACGGATTATACTAACGCAAGATCTTATACCAACAACCACTATAGTGTTCGTTCTTCGAGTACCAAATGGTAAAGCAAAAGACCAGATTTTGTCGTCCAAATACGATATATATTTTGGGACCAAATCGCGGGTAGGAATGAATGCTTAGCTAGCTAGTAATCGTGCACGCACGTGACACGACGGAGCACCAAATGGCGGGGATGCTTGACCGTAAGCCTTCAGCTAAACAAGTCGACTTAAACAGTGGTGGTCAGCATCCAATGTTGAGTGATGATTGCTGTGGTTAATAATTTTGGGGAATTATTTACCGCTACAGCTCACTCCCCCCCTAGTGGGTTTGTGAGGACCCTAAGACATGACCAGCCGGAAGTAAAAAAATCTCGATGGTTCCCTGATGGGTGAAAAAATCTTCCGAGCGGCTTGATCGAGAGCCTGCTGGTCTGTCTGCCTATGCTAATAGGGTGTCTGTACATAGCTTCCTCGATGTTGTTCGTTGGATCCCGTGCTTCGTTTGTTTCCTGTCCAGTGCTCGTTGCACCTGGAAAAGAAAACAAGAATGCTGAGGACCTAGTCAAGAAAAATGTACCAAATAAGCATTTTTTTACCAAAAAAAAATTTGACATGCATCTACTATACAGTAAAATAATGTAAAGTGCAAAATATCGGGGAAACAAATATACATCTAATTTAATGTACGGTTATAGGAAAAATATCATTTACTTGTGTTAAATGACGCAACATAAAAAAAAATTGATGTCACTCAGTTATGTGAGATAGGTGTGAAGGTATTCTGGGAATCTAACGTGACGTCCTGAACGCGTTTTTTAGAGTGATCGACCGAAGGTTCAGTGGCTTTCGCTGTGCTAGGGAGTTCTTCGAAGACTGAAGTAGATTCAATTACTTGTGAATTATCGGGTACGTTTAGCACCAGGCTAATGGGATTACCTTCCAAGTAAGCTGGTTTCGGACGGTCGATACTGACGGTGTCTTCGCGGCCTTTTTTGTCTAAAACGAAGAATTTATCAGTACGTTTAATCACTTTATATGGTCCGTCATATGGGGGTTCTAGAG